CGTGCTAGTTTTTTGTATTTTTTTGAAGTAGGAGACGGAGTTGTCCTTGTTAGCCAGATGGGTCCTCAATCATCTGACCTCTGTGATAGCGCCGCGTCGTTTCGAGGCGCTTCCCCAGAGTTTGCTGGTGGGATTTACAGGCTTGAGCCCACCTGCGCCTGGCGTGAGTGTTCTACGCACTTTAATTTCTCCCTTGACCAAAGGGATTTATTTCAGTCTGCGCTAAATAGAAATTGATGTTTTTAAGTCCCTGTTTTACTCATGTAACCACTGATTTACCGAGCAAAACTGATTATTTTTTTAGGGTGTGAGAATAAAATTTTAAAAAAGGTAATGGGGCAGGAGAGCTTTTTGGAGTAATGGAAAATGTTCCATAATCGAACAGGGAAATTTGGAGTTAGCATACACCGTTGAATGTTCGTCAATCAACGGCGATGGTACATATAAATAAATAAATAAATAAATAAATAAATAAATAAATAATTTAAAGATTTGGGCCCTGGTTTACAGTGCCACCAGTAGAAGATAAAAGGCAAGAAAATCTAAGCTACTTCTCATAGGAAGAAAATAACCTGGGTTGGAATAAAAGACTAAACTAATTAGGGTGTCCAGCCTGAGCAATTAAAAATTCATTGGGTTCTAATAGGCAAGGGCAGAAATGGGAAATAGGCAAGGTAGCAAAATATACTGGCAGGGGATGAAAGGTGATGAATTTAGATTTTATGTATTTAATATGAACTACGTGACTTCTGAGAAGGATAAAAGTAACTCAGGTACAAATAAGGAAGACTTCTGAGTCTACAGCATAGAATAAAGAGCTGCAGCTACCAGGAGGCAGGTACTCTGTTAAGGAGGTAATGAAGAAAGGGGGCTAGAAGGCAGGTTCCTTAAGGCAGAGTCACTTAGGGAGAAAAGCAAGAAAAGCTAAAGACCTAAAGCTAAGAAGCACTAACAAGCAAGGAACTGGGAGAGGAGGATACTACAGGAACTGTAGAGGGCGGTAATGAGTCAAATCAGCATGAACATGAGATGGAAGGAAGATGGTGGCAAGGCACGGAGTCTGAAGGCAGGTTATGAAGGGAGAGAGAATCAAGGAAGGCTGTGGGTGTTTCCTATAAGTCTGGGGCATCTGACAGTGAAAGCAGCAAGACTAAACAAGGAAGAAATGGGGGAGTGCAATACAAGAAAGAGATATGGGAGTTCAACGCAGGGAAGAAATACGGGAGTTCAATTCTGAATGAGTAAGAGAAGGGATCTCTAATGAAGGGAATCAGAGGCCACCAGAAGAAAAATAATCCAGCAAGAGCAGGGGCACCCTTTTGAAGAGGAGAGTCCTACAAGGTGTTGGCCAGGCGATGGCTTCGGCCTCCTCTGCAGATCTAGGAAATCCCAAGCCAGCTGCTGGAGGGTACCTTCCCCTCCCTAAGCTGTACCTCCCCCTCCCTAAGCTGTACCATATCTGCATTCATTCCTAATGCCTGACTCTCACTCATTTACCTGGACAGAAAGGTCTTTGGATTTCTCCCTCTGATATCCATGGCTCTTCTCCTTGCTCCAATTTGAAGATCACCTCTGGCTTGGAAACTTGATATCCTGCTCATGGGTAAATACACAAGATTTGGTTGTTTGTGCAAGTGGACAAAGAACCCTCCTAAGGACAAGTCAGTACTAGTCCTTGATCCTCAGGAACTCTGAAGGAAAAAAAAGGTGCAACTTAAGGAGTCATGCAATCAAATTGCCTATTTCCAGTTTTGCAAAATAAAGACCTTTTACCTAAAGAGCAGGCTCAAAACCCCATAAAGCTGGGTCCCAATGAGATTAACAAACTCTGACCCCTGAGCACCCTGGTCACAGTTACCTAAGCTCTGGGCACCACCACTATAGCAACCAAGGAAGGAAAGACCCATCAGCAGGAAAGACACTCAGAGAAGTGGTCCTTACCAAGAGAAACCAGGTGGCTATAGTTCTCCAGCATCACATCCCTGTATAAGCTCCTCTGAGCAGGGTCGACGTGGTACCATTCTTCCTGGGTGAAGTCCACAGACACATCTTTGAATGTCACTGATTCCTGTAAGATCACATTCCTGCTCAACTGGGGATCAACCCCACAAATGTTCTGTGGCAATGCTGGGAACATAATGTAGGATCTATCAGAAGTGGTGATCACACATTTGTTAGACTGAGGAGGCAATGTTGGGTTACATAAACTTGCTGTTTACATAATTTTGTAAAGGATCTAGTATGGCAGGCAGGAAAGTTATGAGGGGCAATTTGTCCTGCAAACCTGTATCCCTACCTAGCTATCTTCTTGGTTTCCTTCAAAGCCAAGCCTTTTTATACAATCACCAATTCATTGCTGCCTATTCATTTTCTTTGTTACAAAATCCAAATACAGTGGTCAGTAAAAAGTGACGACTTTCCTTTACCCCCATAACCAATCCCACTTTACTTTCCAGAAATAACCACTCTTAATAGTTTGGTGTATATACAATGTCCCTTGTCCATGTTTTTCAACACCCCACCCACCCGCTCAACCACACTCACACCCCAACACAGAATCTTGTTTTATGAAATACCATACATATTGTTCTACAACTTGCTTTTTGCATTTAGCTGTGTATCCTGGAGATCTTTGCATAGTGCAATAATTGCACCTTATTGAACTGCTTCATAGTACTCCACAGTACAGCTGTACCACAGGTACCTACTGATTAAAACCAACAACACCTCTCTGTATTAAGAATAAAATGCGGCAGGGCACAGGTGGTTCACACCTGTAATCCCAACACTCTGAGATGTCAAGGCTGGCAGATTGCTTGAGCCCATTCACTTCCTTTGTTATAGGAGCCCAAGAGTTTGAGACCATCCTGGGCAACAGAGCAAAACTCCATCTCTATAAGAGATAAAAAAATTAGCCTGGCATGGTGGTGTGTGCCTACAGTCCCAGCTACTCAGGAGGCTGAGCTGAGAGGATCACTTGAGCCCAGGAGGCGGAGGTTGCAGTGAGCCATGATCATGCCATTGTACTCCAGCCTGCATGACGGAGTGAGACCCTGTCTCAAAAAAAGAGAATAAAATGCAATTCCCTCATGGCTCACCAGGCTGTCGTATGCTGATCTTGATATTCCTTGACTACATCAAACTTGTTCCCACCCCCGCCCTCTTGTTTGTTATTCCCTAGCCTCCTGCATCTCCACAATAGTTAACCAGTTATTCAGGCATCATCTCAAGCATGGCATCCTCAGAAAGGCTGCCTTAGCACCTCCACTATCCATTGCATTACGTGTTTAATTTTCCTGCTAGTCCAGTTATCTCTCACTGCCCAATTCTTTCCACCTCTCAAGAACATAACAGATTCCAACAGAAAGAACACTTGTGCTTCTAGCAATGATCAGAGACATTAGCTTGTTACCTTATTGTCTGTCTCTCCACTGTAAGCTCCATGGGAATAGGGACTTTATCTATCTTGATCACAGTTACATGCCTGGCACCGAGACCAATGCCTGGCACATAGTGGGTGCTTAAAAAAATACTTGCTGAATGAATCAATGAACTAGTCCCTGTCAGCAGGTACTGAGATTATTTCCAGTATTGTGCTATTATAAACATTACTGTAATAAATATTCTTTGTGCAAACATGCTACGATTTCTCCCAGCTCGCTAGCTAAAATTACAGTGGCTAGGTCGAGTCTTTCACTGCTTCTTACCCTATTCCAATCACTTCTTCCTCCACCATCCCATGGACACATGGCTGGCTGAGGTGTCCCATGCCTCCCAATCATCAGTTCTGATGCTTGTGGGCTGATTGTCTAGAATCACTTGGCCTTGTTAAACCATGAGTCACCTGTGACCATGGCCTCCTTGAGCTATGTCCCCCCCACCTTTTTTTTTTTTTTGAGACAGGGTCTCACTCTCTCACCCAGTTTGGAGTCCAGTGGTTCAATCACAACTCACTGCAGCCTCAACTGCCTGAGCTCAAGTAATCCTCCCACGTTAGCCTCCAGAGTAGCTGGGATTACAGGCAGGTGCCACCATATCTGGCTAATTCCTGGTTAGGCTTCTGTCTCAGAAAGCATATAATAAAGTATGGAACAGACAATTAGTGCAAAAAGACATTGAAAGCAGAACTGAGTTAGCTGGAGCAGTGAGGGAAGGCTTCAGAGGCTTCAGCTTTATTCTGTACCCTTCTCTTGTTTGCTTAGGTATAGCTGAACTGGATTCACTCAGATTCTTCAAGGGTATCATTCTCTCCTCCCATTTCCCTTAGCTAAATCCATTTCATATTTCAGGTGCTGGTTAGCACATCTCCAGTGAAGTTTCCTGATCCCCAGCTGGACAGTCAACCTCCCTATTATGTGCTTTAAACCACTCTGCACACCTACCATTATTCAAACAAACCTCCTCATCTATTTAATGCTTGTTTTCCTAGTAAAACGGTACATATTATGAGGGCAGGGATAATACTTTTGGTTGTTTTTTAAATTCTACACACCATTGTCCAGCAAGTGCGTGACTCACACTATACTTCTGTTTCCTGAATGAGTTGAGCCTTAAGGAGATGGATGAGATTTGAATATTAAAGAAGGCAGGCATAGCCCCTTAGTTGTGTGAGGTGCATGATCACATCCACACACCATACTAACTCCTCTGCCCCATATTCCTGTTCAACACTTGGCTGTGTCCCTGCAGGAACAGGGGAGGGATGAAACTGGGGCCATTTTTCTGACCGACTAGATACTTACAAGGTGCCTGGCTTTACCATATACATTGTGGCAGACTAAAAATGCAAAAGAAAAACACTGCAGTCCTTGAATATGGTTCAGTTTATTTTAAAAGCGTTATTTATTAGAGCACAATATGAGATAATACACAGTAAGGTGAAGTGCTGCAGGCACTCAAAGCAAGAAAGACTGGGAGAGGGAGAGAACACTTCAAGGTAGGTTCTGTACCAGGTCCTAAGAGGTAAGTGCCATCTGCATGGAAGAAGAAAATGTGGGAATCCAATCCAGGGACTGGGAAGCTTGAGAAGGGAGGCTGGTCTTGGGAGAGGCATGGCCAGCAAGGATAAAGGCGTTGGACCAGCCATTTTGAGATAAGTGGTGAGAAGTAAAACCTTCTCCCCATTGCCTACTCTACCCTCTAGACATATTGTCTCTTTGGTTTAGTAATAGTCATTGCCCAACCAGGACTCCTTTGCTTAACTGGTTCCTCATATTTAACATATGGCCTCATGGTTTCTTTTGTTTTATTTTGTTTAATAGAGATGGGGTCTCACTATGTTGCCCAGGCTGGTCTGAAACTCCTGGACTCAAGTGATTCTGCCACCTCGGCCTCCTTGAGCCCATTCACTTCCTAAAGAGCTGAGATTACAAGTGTGAGCCTCTGAGCCTGGCTGGCCTCCTGGTTTCATTCTGCTTTCCCAAAGATTCTGTACTCAAGGTGAAGAATGTGCTAACCAGCAAGCAAACATCTGCTCCAAGCCGCTCATCATTTCTTGCCTTGACAGGGCAACCACTGGCCTCTGTTCTTTAATTATTAATCCCACTCCCCCTTTTTTTCCCCTGGGCACCATCAGAGTTACATCAAAACACAAATTTGATCATGTTCACAAACCCTTCACTGCAGCCGGGCCGAGTGGCTCACACCTGTAATCCCAGCACTTTGGGAGGCTGACGCAGGCGGATCACCTGAGGTCAGGAGTTCAAGATCAGCGTGGCCAACATGGCAAAATCCCGTCTCTACTAAAAATACAAAAATTAGCCAGAGGTGGTGACGGGTGCCTGTAATCCCAGCTACTCGGGAGGATAAGGCAGGAGAATCACTTGAACCTGGGAGATGGAGGCTGCAATGAGCCTAGACCATGCCATTGCACTCCAGCCTTGGTGACAGAGCAAGACTCCATCTCAAAAAAACAAAAAACAAAAAACAAAAACCACAAACCCTTCACTGCCTCCCACTTTTCCCTATTCCTGTCACCCTCACCCTAGTTCAAGTCACCATTTCTTACCTGGACTACTGATTGCTACAACCTCCTAGTTCGTCTCTCCTCTCACTCTTGCCCCACTACCCAAGTCCATTTTCTACATGACAACCAGAGAGATCTTGTTAAAACCTGCCAGACTGCTGGGCATGGTGGCTCACACCTGTGATCCTAGCACTTTGGGAGGCTAAGGTGGGAGGATCACTAGAGGCCAGGAGTTCCAGGCCAGCCTGGACAACATAGTGAGACCCCATCTCTAAAACAAACAAATTATTTTTTTAATTAGCTGGGCATAGTGGTTTACATCTATGGTCCCAGCTACTTGGAGGACTGAGGCAGGAGGATTGCTTGAGCCCGGGAGTTCAAGGCTACAGTGAGCCACAATGATACCACTTCATTCTAGCCTGGGTGACAGTGCAAGACCCTGTCTGAAAGAAAAACAAAACAAAAAAAGAATCTGCCAGATCAAGTCACCTCTGTTTCAAGGCCTCCAAAGGCACCCTGATTCATTCCAAGTAAAGTCAAAGTCTTTACGGCCGCCTATAGCCCCTTCACAATCTGGGTGCCAACTAGCTCCCTGTCTTCACCTCAAGCTTCCTCCCCAACGTGCAGCTCTCCCCTGCACCCGACCCATCCTCCTTCTGATTCCTGGAAGACACTAAACCTACCTCCTCCCTGGTGCCTGTGTTCTGCCTGTTCCCTTGACTTGAGCCTCTTTCCGCATGTATGCCCGTGGCTCCCTACTCACTGGCTCCAGCTTTGTTCAAATGTCACTTTATCAGAGCAACCTTCCCTCACCATCCTCCATAAAATAGCACCCCACTCTATTCTCACCGTCTTTTTTCACAGCCTTTGCCACCTGACATGTCATGTTTGTTGACAGTCTATATCCCACAGCAGAATGTAAACCCCAAGAGAGTAGGAATACTATTTATTTTCTTTACTGTTGAATCTCCATTGCCTAGAATAGACCTGACATGTAGTAGGTGCTCCACAAATATTTAATACATTTTTCTTTTGAGACAAGGTCTTGCTCTGTTCCCAGGCTGGAGTGCGGTGGTGCAATCATAGCTCACTGCAGCCTTGAC